TCTTCTACTGACATGCAGTCATCTTAGGTTTCTATGTTCCATAGGAATATAAATATTTTGAACAAAAGACATACCGGTTTGTGCTTCTCCCTTACTCTAGTTACTGAGAACATCCTCGCAACATGGAAGGCATGCTCAGAATTAGAGGATAGGATGGAAATAGAAGCTAGTGAAACAGCCTGAAGGAAAAAGGACATTATTGACTGTCTTAAAATAAGTTTGTTAGGATAGAGTCATGGAGACATCTGTTCAAGTTAAAGCAGTGGGAGTTAGTGTTATCAAAAGAATGAGCTGCCTCAGGAGGAGATAATTGTCTTACCAGAAATGTTCACCCTAAGATTGCGCAGTCACTTAGGCATTTGTCTAAAGGTTACAAGCAATTAGAGAAGACACAGGCCTAGAAGACTCTAAGGATCCTTGGCAATTCTAAGAGCCTACATTATCTTTCTAATTATAAAAAAATTTTTTTATATTGTACATACAATAAAATGCACAAATCTTAGTGTACAGCTTGATGAATTTTGATGTATGTATAAATTCATGTAATCACTGCCCAGGTCAAGATATCAAACATTCTCACAATTTTTTTCCCTTCACCTCTTTTGCCCAACCCCCAACCCCCTCCCCTATGGCAGCCATTGGTCTGTTCTGTGTATGAGTTTGTCTCAGATTTTTTGTTTGTTCATTTGTTTTGCTTTTTAGAATCTTTATATAAGTGAAATCTTATGGTATTTGTCTTTGTCTGACTTATTTCACTCAGATACCCCCTAGGTCCATCCATTATGTCACAAATGGCAAGATTTCATTTTTTTTATTGCTGAGTAATATTCCATTGTATGCATGTACCACATCTTTTTAATTTATTCATCTATTGATGGACATTATGGTGTTTCCATATTTAGGCTGTTGTAAATAATGCTATGATAAACAGAGGAGTACATATCTTTTCAGATAAGTGATTTTGTTTTCTGCAGTAGACTCTGAAAAGTGGAATTCCTAGGTCATATGGTATTTCTATTTTTAGTTTTTTGAAAAAAAATCTATACTGCCTTCCATAGTGGCTACGCCAATTTTTAATCTCACCAGCAGTGTACAAGGGTCCACTTTTCACATTGGCCATCTGTATGTCTCCTTTGGAAGAATGTCTATTCAGGACTGCACATTTTTCAATCTGATTATTTTGGGGTTTTTTTGTTGTTCAGTTGTATGAGTTCTTTATAATAATTTTGGACATTAAACCCTTATTAGATATATTATTTGCAAACATAGTTTCCCATTCAAGAGGCTGCCTTTACATTTTTTTTGATGGTTTCTTTTGCTATGCCCTTTAGTTTGATATAGTCCCACTTTTTATTTTTGTTTTTGTTTCCCTTGCCTGAGGAGACACATCCAGAAAAAAAATCACTAGTGCTAATATTCAAGAGTTAATGCCTATGTTTTGTTCTAGGAGTTTTATGGTTTAATGTCTTTTATTTAGGTCTTTAATCCATTTTGGGTTTATTTTTGTATATGGTATAAGAAAGTGATCCAGTTTCATTCTTTTGCATTGTAGCTGTCCAATTTTCCCAGCACCATTTATTGAAGAGACCATCTTTTCTCCATTGTATATTCTTGACTCCTTTATCATATGTTAACTGATTATATAAACATAGGTTTATATCTGAGCTAAGAGCTCATATTTTCTTAATGTGACTAAAGCAGGGTTTACAATTTCCTAACATTCAGTCTTATGTGACTTTAAATAAATTAGTTTAAATGGAAAAATTTCAAAAAAATTAATTATGTAAAATGATAAATAATGAATACTCTTAGAAATCAAATCAGTCCAATATTTAAAAAACTGAAATTCCATAAATGTATGTATGAAGTATAACTTGGAGCTATTCATATTTTGACAATCATACACACATATTCTAAAACATGTCCTATTTTAGTGTCATTGAACTAAAAGATATTATAAGGAAGGGGGAAAGTCCTGGACACTTCAACAGCATTAATCTCTCCTTGCATTGCCATTCATGAAAGACATTGAATTATAGATTTATAGACTGAAGGGCATAAATAGTTGAACACCTAAAATTCCAAGTCAAGTAGTAGACTCCAATATTAGCATAATTCAGTTGTTCCCTTGCTGGTTGTCAGGATCACCTGTAAGTGACCCAGCCACATCCCAGATGTGCTTAGCATGTGTTTCTCTGACAGTTTTTATGAAGCTGAGCATCTCTTCATGTTTATTGGCCATCTTCTTTGAATTGCCAATCCCTATTATTTTCCTATTTCTTCTTTTGTATTTTTTACTATCAAGATCTTTTGGTTTACTAGAGATATGAAAGGGGTCTGTTACATGTTAAAGCAACTGTTTTTCTCTCATTTACATTTTGTTGTGTTTAGGATAAACATTAAGACTAAAATCACCAAGCCTAATTGTCATTTTATAAACTTAGCATGTTCTTCAAACACCTCATTAGAGCATTTCTTGCAGTTAGCAAAGCTGAGGTTTCAACTAAATAAAAAATGATAGAAATGATCACCTAAGATATGTTAACATTTCAATGGAGACTTTTCATTGTTAAAATTCTTGAACATCTTAGTACTTGATAATTACAGACCTTGAGATTGGGGAATTATCCTGAGTTATCCAGGTGGACCCAGTCTAATCACATGAGTCTTTAAAAGCAGGGAACACTTGCCTGCTATAGTTAGAGAATTAGAGAAATGGCAGCATGAGAGGAATTCAACCTGCTATTGCTGGCTTTGTAGATAGAGGAAGGGCCACAGCCAAGGAATGTGGGCAGTCTCTAGAAGTTGGAAACAACTGAGTCTTCCCTAAATCCTCCAGAAGAAACACAACTCCACAGATACCTTGATTTCAACCCAGTGAATATGCATCAAATTTCTAATCTACAGAACTGTAAGACAATATATTTGCTTTGGGTCATCCGTTTTGACCATGCCCACCTGATAGAGATGAGAAAGTACCATAAAGGAGGAGGCTTGCAAGTGGTCCTTGAAGTATGAGGATTTGGTCAATCACAGAAGGAGGAGAGGACAGTTCAGACAAAGGGGTGAACCCAAGTCAACATTACAACCTGTTTGCATATTAGTTTTCTATGTGGGCAAAGTTGTGAAAAGTTTGAAAAAGGGAGTATAAGTACTTCTACTTCTGGCAAAAATAGTAGGCTAGACACTCTGAAGTGGCTTTCTACTTTACAACAATCATATGGTGCCTAATCTATGCTTTGTAATGAATTCCTGGGCTCCCAGGAAAAAATACCCAAGCCTTCCATCCCACAACAAAATATGTGGTAATAGACATCTATGTAACTCAGAACCACTTTCATGCTGAGAGCAGCTAAAAAAGATTAAGAAAAAACAGCCACCTAGAAATTATGAAAGTGCTAATAGGATTACAAGTAATTACCAGGCATGCAGATGGGATCCAAAAGGTACACCCAGAACCCAGAACAGTTTTTGTTGTGGTAGAGTTTCCCACCTAAGAAAAATAGCTGAGAGGCTGATTGGCACAAATACGAAACAGCAAGTGCTAGCCACAAAAGAAAAGATGGATGAATTTCATCTCATTAAAATTGGGAACTTCTGTTCATTAAAAAAAAAAGTAAAGTAAAAAGGCAACCCACAAAGATATTAGTAAAAATAATGAACAAAGAATTTGATTTCAGCATATATAAGTGCAATATAATGAGTCATAAGAAATATATATTTGGCCATTAATATGACCAACTATATGTTTCCTGGGAATATTTGGTTTTCATCCACAGTTTCTGAAAACACTGCAGAGTCTTAAAGGTGAAATGGGTGTCTTGTCATGTTAATGACAGACTTTTGGACCCACCCAAGGGCAGGGCTGGAGATTGAGTTGGCCAATGGCCAATAATTTAGTCAAGGACACCCATGCAATGAAGCCCTCACAAAAACCCCTAAGAAGAGCTTATCACTGATCTCTAGGATCCTGTTTCCTTGTCAGAGAGAGCTTCTACAATTGGGGATCCAGAATGCCTCCGCATGCCACCGAGCCAGGCCACAAGCTCCACAAGGATAGAAGCTCCTTAATTTGAAACTTTTCCCTATGTGTCTGTCACTCCAGGGTGGAAGGATGTTCCCAGCCCTGGGCAAATCGCCTGTGAAACTGGTGAAACTGAAATAAGTCAAAGAAAAGGATAGGTTGGGAGAAACTGTTTTTTAATTGCTCACAGCTTGCTTGAATTCACTATCTAAGCCTGGCCCTTCTGACTCCTTCCACCAGGGCGGCTCACACTCTGCCCCCTTGGCATGCTCTCTACTTCCTGCCCACCCCTTCCAAGAGGAGCTCCATTAGTGGGCCCTTGGTGACTGGCAGATGCCAGACCAATTAGTACTAGGAATGGAGGGGAGGAGAGAATGGCCCGTTATCTCTCCACCCCTTGCCCCAGAGGCTGGGGTGACCCAGAGATAAACACCTGTTGATATGTAAATGGCTAAGGCCAAGTGGGAGATTCTGGAAATTCTGAAATTTACTCGACAATATCTCTTTGTCTGGCTATTAACTTTTATCCTTCACTAAGCTGGTAAGCCTAAGTGTTTTCCTGAGTTCTATGATCTGCTCTAGCAAATTGAACCTAAGGGGGAGGTCATGGGAACCTCCAATCTATAGTTGGTAGCTCAGAAGCACAGGTAAACTGCCTGGGGCTTGTGGCATCTGGAGTTCAGGGGTATGGGTGTTTGGGGGTGTGGTGGATGGCAGTCTTTGGGATAGAGCTCTCAACCTGGGGAATGTGGGACTGTCTCTGGGCAGATAGCATCAGAATTGAGTTCTCAGACACCCTGTTAGTGTTTGAGAAATGCTTAGTGTTATGTGTGGAAAAACCCCTGACCCTTACGCTTACACACATTGGAATTGGGTCCAGGAATCTGATTGGAGTTATACTACTATTACTGCTATGTATAATACTATTACAGTTGTTGTATATGAAAGAATACATCACAATAAGGAACTTCTGAAATTCAATAAGGAAAAGACAAATGACCCAACGGAAAAATCTTTCTGAAGTATAAACAGACATTTTACAAAAGCTGCAGCACAATGGTAAATAAATATGATAAGATGTCACCAGAGAAAGGCAAATGAGAGCAAGATACTGCTTTATACCTACTGTTAGCCAAATGAAGAGGTCTGACAATACTAAGTGTTGACAAGAATATCAAGCAATAGGAGCTCTTATACACACTGGTGGGGATTTAGAATGAATTAGTTGAAACTCTTGGGGAAAAATTGGTATGATACACTATTTGTTAATATGCTACAGTGCAGTATACATCCTAGAAGAACACTGGTGCACACACCCGAAGCTATGCATATGACACTCATAGAAACACTGATGGATAGTGAAAAAAATTAAATAGAAACAATTTAATTGATCATAGCCAAGCTGTGGTTAAGTATGGTCTGATATACTCACACAAATATTATACAACTATGAAAGTAAATGAATATGTATGAATTATAATGTAATATATCAAGTTCAAAGAAATATATATTATGAAACAAATTTTCTAAAGCTCAAGAAAAAAACCTAAATAAATAAATATTTAGGAATGCATTTAGACATGGTAGAACATATGAATTAACTATAGTATTGAGTGAAAATTATGAGACTGAATATGTAACAAAAAATAATAAACTGAAGAAGACTGGAGTATGATACCATTTTTATGAAGCTCTAACGATGATATATTGTTTAGAGATACATAGAAATACATGTGATATTACATGAATATCAACACAAACCTGGATTAAAATTCTGCCAACCTGAATTGAATAGCAAAATAGCAAATTGAAGTGGTAAACACAAAATTCAAATGGGATATCCCTGGCAGGGAACAGGGAGCTAAGATGGTGCAGGGCACACAGGAACCTTCAGTAGAATTGATTATGTTTGATTAATTCTCTGTGTGATGTGTTCACTGGCATTCAACTTTTATCATGTTTTTCAAATTCCAAGTGTATTGCATATATTCTTTTGTAATACCAGATATTAGATAATACGAATTTAGTTACACTGCACAAAATTATTCTTTTTTAAGATGGCTGTTCTCCCAGCACCCTTCTTCCTTGATTGCCCTTTTGGTACTGCTGAACTTGAATGAGGGTCACAGGCTGAAAGAAGAAAGTATTGTGAGATGATATACAAATGCTGTCTGAGAGCAGCTCACAACTACTGACCTGCCCAGACTGGATGTCGCAAAATTACTATAAAATGACAGAGCCAGTTCTCTACTGCTCTGTTGGGTCATATTTCAATTTGGTGGCTCATTTTGCAGTGTAAGTCTTATCTTTAAAATATCTGCTGAAGAGTGGATGTGAGCTTCCAGTAATCTTTGGCTGTCAAGCATCTTCTCCATCTGCTAAAATTGAAAGCTTCACTTGCATATTTTAAAGAAAGGATGAAAAACTTCCTTTGTTTAAATTGCAATTTTTGTTGTAAACATAGTTTAAGTACATAATAAAGGTTTACTTTTCCCAAATATGTTGGAGGAGTGGGGAGTGACATGTTAATAAATCTGAATTAAGTAACTTTAATTTAAATTGGTTTTTAATCACTTTAAAAGTGAGGCAACTGAGGCAAAAATTGAACCGCGCTCACCATCCCTATTCTTACCCCAGCTCTTCTCATCCCCCAGAACCAATCCCTCTCACTGGGTTCCCCCAGGCAGGATATCTCTCTTATCTTGCCACCTCCCATGTGCAAACATACTCCCATCACTTCTAATTCCCAAGCCCCAGTCCTTCCATACCACCTCCCTTTTACTACTGGCAGAGCTGTGAAGGGGTTGGGGACTGAGGAGTTGGGAGGGACTGGGAACCGGGGATTCTGGGGAAATGGGCTGGGGCAGGAGTTTAATCTGACATAATACATAGAATAGGAATTAATGGCAATCAGGACCACACTGCAGGCTGCAAAGGAGACAGAGCCCTTGTACTGCCCTTACACAGCCCTGTGTCAAATTCCCCAGAGCTGCCACATTTTAGTTGAGTTACTTAACTTCTCAGAGCCTCAGCTTCTTCATCTGTAAAAATAGTAATACATACATCCCAGGGTGGTCATAAGGATTCAGTTATGTTTATAAATTGTAAATACTCAACATATACTCAAATATGGTATTTTATTTGTATTGGGTGAATATGTTGAAATTATAGAAGTTCTTTCTAGTAGATTTGGCTTATTACAGGTTGATTTACTCACTCATCCTTGAATGCATATTTCTTGACATTCCTTTTCACTGTTGAATCTATTTCCTGAGCCGTTACAGCCACTGAACCAAAAGCGGGCACAGGAGTTGACCTGCTTGTCATAATACCATCGAACCACATATTCACCACAATTTCCTGGCATTAGGGCTTCCAAACATCTAGGATCTGGAGTGAGGAAAGGATAATGTATTATTAGAGATTTTCCTTTCACTGGAAGGAGAAGTAAAAACTTTGTGAAGTTTATGTTTCATGCACACTAACACACCAACTAAGAAATGATGGTTCTAACTTAAAGAAGTGCTCCCTAATACCCAGGGTATTTCCTCCACCACCTGAAACTTTGCCGTTAGGTGTACATTCCTTTGAAAACATGAAAATTTTTTTATATGTATGAATCCCCATTAAAAATGCATTATTTCCCTGAAGGCAGAACATGGAACCTTCATTGGCTAATACTCTTGCGGAGATTAGTTGACTGGAGAAAAATATAGGACTTCTTCACTTGCTTTGTACTTAATTTAAAATCAAATTAGTATTGGGAAAGATTATTTTGACCATCTGTACACATTCTCTCCCAGTTTGTAGGTAGCACCACCATTTGCACAGGTAATTTTGCCTACTAAAAAAGGAAAATCCCTGGGATCTCTACATCACAGTATTCTTTTAAAAAGAGCAGCTCTTGCAAGACAATAAAGATGACCTTAATGTAACTTTCAAAAACGTTTCAGAAACAGTTCCACTATTTAAAAACAAAAACAAAAACAAAGGAGAGCTACAACAATACAATGAAGCCACTGCTTAAATCTTTTCATTTCATGGCTCCTTAGTGCCCTGATTGGTATTTTCTTATCTCAGGAGGTGATACCAAGATGAGAAAACCGTAAGAAAAGACCAAGTAGGTGATTGCTGCCTAAGACTTGTATTCTGTGAGGCAGTTTATATTCTATAAGCCTAATTTCTCAATAGCAAAAAAAAGCTCTCTCTCCATCTCCCATAATCATTCCTTCAAGTTTGGAGTTTATCTTGATTCTGGTATTTTCTAAAGCTAACCTCTAAATCTACCTCTCCTAGGAAGACTCCTGAGCTCAAATGGAAGGAGGCAATAGACTTTCATTACCTCTGCTCTTAAAAATAGCTAAGTAATAATGCAGTGTGTAACTTCTCATGCCAATCTAAGCTTTTTTTGGACAAGGATGCTGTCTCACTTGCATATTTTTCAGAAACTATGTATATAATGATTAATTTCTATAGATATCAATTCCATAGAAAATACACTGATGAATTGGAATCTAGATTCTATCTTGTTCTCTGTCTTCTACAATCCAGGGGTGAAAAATTCAAATGTCTCCATGTGTGACGGCCACATGTGAGATAATAGGGAGTGGTTGGAGCTATGGTAAACAGGAGAGCACAATTGTCTCCACAGGCATTCCAATTAAAAATAACAATAATAAACACTTTAAGGGTGTTAACATTTTTTAATTGACCAAATCTGTACCACAGCCAGCCAGTTTTCTAATTCTCTGCATAATAAAATGACCCTCCCTGTTTAGAGCCAAGCATGTTCTCTCTGGGTGACATCGTAGAGCATCGTCTCTGCCTTCTCATTGTAGGTGCAGCAGCTGCTTGGCAGATACCTCTTACCTCTGTGTACCATCTTTCCCGGCTGCAAGTTCAAAATGGGACTTGGAGTTCTGGCTTCCAGACCTTCTGTCCCATCCTCTGCAGGGCTGGGCAGTGCCCGCTGGGTGGCAGCCACCTCAGATGAAGGGGTGGTGGCCAGGCTGTCAACCCAGGTAGGCTCAGGGGCCTCATTCTCTTTGTTCTGGACTCCCGGCACTCTGACCTACAACAAAAATTCAGTTTTGTTTCTGGCAATACCAAGTCAATACAACTAGTTTGCTTTTAGGAACATTTAAGGAAAAGTTCAGCATTTCCACTTCTCTCCAACTCTCAAAAGATTAATTATGTCAATAAAAGCTCAGGAAATGAGGCCCCTCTCTATGTCATGCATTCCTGAATACCTAAGTTACAGATTTTCCCGCCACTTTGTGTGGGTCTGTGTGTGTATAAACACACACACTTCCCACCTCCAGGCATAGCTGTTTTTGTGCTGGGCCTTCCAGAGAGCTGCATGAAAAGAATGAAAGATGTGAGGTTGGAGGAGCTGATTTTCATTCTTTTCTTAGTCACTGGTATGAAGAGGGAAAATAACCACTAATTTATTTGACCTTTTTTCTTTTTTTTCATAGCTTTCCTCATCACTTCCTAACACTGGAGAACTTAACAATAAATTGCGGACTATTTGCCACACACTCAACCAACTTTGAGTGGGAATTGGGATGGCAGAGGACAATAATACAGCTAAAATGAAAACAATAGCAATCACTGTTCATCTCATCCCTTCATCTGCACCCCAGCAAATGCCAAATGCTGCCAGATGCGTAGCTTCTAAGAAGTTCTGAGAAATGTTGGCTAGCTAAGGAACAAAGGGTTATAATTTTGAAAGCAAGTTGTCTGAACTAAAATTCTAAGTTTAATCTAAACTGCTGATATGTGATGAAACAAGGAAGAAAAGGTGTTCAGCTTCACAAAAAAAGAAAAGAGTCACATCTGTTATTCTTTACAATGCCAGGAGCTATATCAGTCTTTTCTGGGACCAGTAAGTCCTTTTTTTCTTTTCCCTGAGCCCCAGCCACATGGAATTGAATCACTCATCCATCTCAGTCCTGGCACAGTGTGGTCATTTATCCACTGTGTAAGGCCCTCTCTTGTTTATCTGTCTGTTTGCATTTTGTTTATTTAAGTAGTCAAATCTGTGAACTAGTAAAGTCATCTTCGATGATTTCTTACCTGTGGTTCCTGTCATCCTGTGTGAGCAGAGCCAGTCGTCGTCATCGGCTGCTCTTTGCCACCTTTGATTCTGTACACACACACACACACACACACACACACATGCACACATGCACAACGGGGAAGGGCTGATGAATTCTATTACTAGTGTAAATTTTGCAGATTAGAGTGTCACTAGGTAAATCAGAGCAAATGTTCCCATTGGGATTGGTCTGGGTGTCAGCCCTATATAAAGGGCATTCAATGCAGTAAAGACTTTGCACTAGGCCTAAAACACAACTTTTGGTAGAAATGAAGGTAAAATAGAGAATTTCTTGGTGTTCCTCTTCCTTTCAGAATGATCTTGTATGTACATATGACAGTTTGAATGTGAACTTTTGTTACAATCATAGAATGAGAATTTTAAGGCCAGAGGAAAACTGTCAGTACCCCATTTTCTATGGGGCAATCTAAAGCTCCAAATGATAAAGGAACTTCACCAAAATTATTGGTAAGCTAAAGGCAGAAATCTGAGAAAAGTCTGTTTCAGGGAAAAAAATACTGTGTTCCTTTAGTCCTTGCACATATTTCATTTTAAGAAAAAAATAAGTTAAAATCTTATAAAAAGAAAAAGCCAATGGGTGACAGGCTAGACTTCATATATATCATCTGTCAGGTGAGAATGTTCCTTTGACGTGTACTAGGCTGAAGTTTTCTTAAAGGAATTAACTCCATCTTTGAATCATTACATTGTTCAAGTCTTAAGACCTCAGAAGCTACTTTTTATCTCTTATAAATTTAGGAGTGTGTGTTTTCTTTCTTAATCATACTACCATTTGGGAATCTGACTACAAGAGCATTATACTTCAGGTTCTAGAACAAAAGAAATTATGATCTTCTTTATAAATGAGAATAATTTTATCTTTTGGCCCATGAGATTTCAGACTGCTTAAACAAATGCATAATTATTATAGTTTGCCATTTTTATAATTTTCTTCCTTATTACAAAGACAAACATGTTCACTGAAGGGAATTTAGAAAATCTGGACAGGCAAGAAGAAAATAGAAATCACAGGTGATTCTAGCTCCCAGATATCAGGTGTATTTTTTCCCCAGTCTTCTTTTTATGTGCGTACTTTTTTAAGAAAAAAATATACTATGTTTGATTTCCTTTTTTCCTTTTTTTTTCCATTATTTAATATATTAGGGTTCCATATATTTTACTGGAACTCTATAGCATCATTTCAAATATAGACTATACATAACTATAATGGCCTTCTTAGCACTGAATTTATTTCCTTTTTTTCTCTTTTCTTTCTGTTAGAAACCACATGGCTGATTGCTGGCTCAAAGATCACACATATTTGAGGCTTTTGAGACCAAGTCCAAAAACATTTTTGCAGTTTGCACTCTCAGTAGAGAGTGTCTTTTCTTAAACTCTCACCATTTACAAGATGTTATGAATGAAAAAAGAGATAATTGCCAGTTTTATGGGTGAAACATTCCTCAATATATGCCTCCATAGCCCTGCCACAGTCTGTCTCCCGCACGTTTATAACGTTGCCCTCTGCTCTTCCCAGCACGTCTTGCTGCACCTTTCCTTCCCTCCTCTTCTCCATTCTGCCTCAGGCTCCCAAAGTCAACCCTCCCAACGTGCCAGGGAAAAGTTGGTCCCCATAAGTGAAACCTTTCCTAATTTCTTTTTTTCTTCCTATTTTGTTGTCTTTAAAAAAATTTTTTTATAGCATAGAACAGCAACTAGTAGTCACTGGATATATCAGAATGAGACTGAGAAAGAAAGAGGGAGAGAGGAAGAAGGGAAGGGGGAGGGAAGAGGGACTTTGGATGAATTACTCAGTTCCTGTAAGCTTTAATGTCCTTGGTTTAAAATAGGAAATATTAGACCCTAACATAATTCCAACTCTGAAAGTGGGAGTTTAGCAGCCCCAAACTTAACTGGTTGCCTCTGGAGAGAAGGAGAAAGAGACTAGAGGAAAATCAAGGACTAGAGCTTGATCTGAAGCAAGAGCGAGTGAACAAGCAGGAACACTGGTTGCATCTCAGATGTCTGCTGTATGTGTTCTCTGTGCTTTTTATCAATCTTAAACCTAAAAACAAAAGCTTGCCTACCATGCAGAGCTTTTGTTTTTAGGTTTAAATGTGGCATTTCTGCTTCTGCCACACTGGCCCGCCTTGGAGGAGATGGATGGTCCTGGTTCCAAGAAGGGGTACACTCACCCCAGTAAAAAGACACAGAAGCAGAGACTAGGGACAGGTGAGAGGCCAGCACGTGGAGTCTGGGGCTGCTGCTTGCTGCTGGACAAGCTGATAAGTTATCATCAGCCCCTTTCAGCCTCAAAGCAGATCTTCAAGGGGAGGAAAACATTTCCAGCAGCATCCTGGGGATGTAAATGTATGAGCTAAAGGAGGCTTACTAACCAGGCACCACACAGTTCCCAATGTTGTCATTTTGTTTATGATTTCCAAACATTTTCCTTATAATTCATTACCCTGCATCTTGCATATATTGCAGATAAGCTCTTCACATCTGAGCTCATGTCTTCTCTGGGTGAATGCTAATGATCAGCTGCATTAGACCAGGTGTTCAGACTGAGCTCTCCCCATCAATGTGGGTCTGTGCTTCTCCTGGTTGGCTGTGGGGGTTCTGGGCTTGCCAGCTGACTCCGCAGCCGGGGCCTGCAAGGTGCCCACCTTCTCAGGCTTCTGACCTCCACAGACTCTTCCTAGGTGACAACATTTCCTTGCCAGTCCCTCAGCGCTTATATACTTAAATTGAATGTTCTTCATTAGAATGTGGGTTTGTTGGGGGACGAGTCAGGAGCACATCGGGTTTGGGCTGCCCCTTCTGATCACCTGCAGCTCTCCTAGAGGGCACACTACAGGATTTTATCTGGGGCAGGCCCTCTCTTTCGTACCATTAGTACAATGCCCTCCATTCTGGCATTGCTCCCAGTTTTGGCTGACCTAACTGTAGTTTTTTTAAAGGAAGAATATTCTGGTAATAATCCCTGGTTTTACAAATGAGGAAACAGAAACCTTAAGAAAGAGGTGATTCATGCAGTTTCAGGCAGCTATCAGATTTCATTTCTGCGATGTCTCATTGTGAGATAATCTATAAAATTTTAAAAGTCTGTTTAAAAGACCACCACACACTAAATAGATGCATTCCAATCTCTGAAATAATAAAATAAAAAAAAGTACATACTTTGGAGCCAAGGAAGCAAAAGTATTTAGCTTTAACAGTGAGACTGTGAGCCAAGTTTCCTGCCTTTCAGGTCTGGGATATTTCTTTTAAGTCATTTTGTAATGTTTTTTTTTTTTCTCTGTCATAGAATAAGGGCATTGTATATCCTAAAGGTAATAAGTCTATTATTAGAAATATGTGATGCTTACACAGCAATTTCACATAGCAATACTAATAATTAGTTTTATTAAGAAGTTGAGTTTTTTTTGACCAACACAATGAGAGAGTAGTAATTTTATTTTATAAATAAATAGACTGTAGTATTGACCAATTTAACCCTATCTTTATATATAGCTTACAAAGGCCACTTACAAATAATTAGGTCTGATTATAGGAACTCAACAATTTGTCAGTGGAGAAACTAAGCTAATATTAGGCTCAGTCCCAAGTCTTTCAAAAGTCTGAAAAGTCCATGTCTTTTGAAAGCATTCATTATGGCCTTTGAGTAGGCTACTTCATTAATCATAAGTATAATGTGATTGTCCAACCTATAAAATTTTGCTTAAATAGAATATTAGGAGAAAATATAGATGTACTCAAATATTTGTTATTTTTCCTCATCTACTGTCATGGAGGCTTAGTCCCAAGTTAAAACACATGCTATGGTATTAGAGACAGGTTTTTAAGAAAATTCAGACAAAATGAAATTATATGTAAGAGAAATAATTCAATGATGTTATTTTTTAAAGTGTAAAAAAAATAATAAAATTGGAGAAGATACAGAAAAGAGAGATAGGACAAGAGTTTTGAGAGCACATCATTAATATGATGGGAAATGGTGAAGCCCTGAGCTAAGGCAGCAGAGGTATGGCTGAGGAGAAAGGGAACTGACAGCATGGGTAGAGGGATAAGAGGACCAAAGGAGACAGTACTGACAAGTACAGAAGACAGAGTAAGAGTGGAGCCACAGATGTATCCCAGGCTTCCAACCCCTGCCTCCTTTTATCCCGACTGCCCTGCCTTGGTTTAGGGCCTCATTATCTCTCCCCTGAACTATTGCTGCTCATATGCCAGCCTGTGGGCTCCTGCCCTCCTCGTCCTCTTTCCCTTTCACACTGCAGCCAGGACTGTCCCTGATTTTTGTGAACCAAGTATGGCCATATGACCCCTGCTTTAAAAATTCCTCCGCTTCCTCCTATCTGCCTGGCCTGTGGATGAAGTTCAAGTTCCTTAGCTTGACATATGAAGCCATTTGTAATTAACCTTCAAATTATTTGTCTCTCAAATTGTTTTAACTCTCACCATTCTGCCATATATGCCTTAGGCTCCAGTCAGACTGAACTTGTCCTAAGATCATAAAGTGCCATACCCTTTGGAATACCCTTTGCCCACATGTTCCCTCAGCTGGAAATACCCTTCTCCCTACTCTTACCTTGAAAAACTCATACTTATTCTCACGATTCAGCTCAGTGCCACCTCCTGTGTAAAGCTTTCCATTACTCTGCCCTGAAATTAATTGTACCATCTCTTGTGCTTCATCCACAGCTCTGCTAAAGTTCTTACTATTTCTTGTACTTATCTACCTCCCTGATAGACTATGAGCTTCTCGTGGACAGGAACTGTGCTTAAGAGCCACCACCTACTACAGCAGTAAATTGTTAATACATACTACTGGAATTCATTGATTATGAAGAGAGCTCAGTTTAATTGCCACTTGCTGGGTGAAACCCGAGTTGGCTCTTGTTAGAAAGCCTTTAGAAAGGGACAGGGACTGACTAGGGTAGGAACAAAGTGACAAGTCACACAAACGGGAAAGGCCCCAGGAGCACTCCATACTCAGGAGGATATATACTGTGTATACTATTGTCTATAATTTACTTTAAAATGTTCAGCAAAGACTGGGGTCAGCAAATCCCCGTGGGCCAAATCCAAGTCTTCAGCTGTTTGGGGAATAAGTTTTATCCAAACACAGCCATGCTCATTCACATAAATACTGGCCAGGGCAGCTTTTGCACTTCTAAGGTAAGAGTTGAGTAAATGCAACAAAGATCAAATGGCCATTTACCCTATGACCTGGAACAGAAAGAGTCCAAGATCCCTGACAGACCAGGTGATACAGAATGAGTGTGTTAATTTCAGTCTACACTTCAGAGGCAGGCTGTTGCCCTAATTGGGATCACCCATCTTGGAGTCAGTATCCACAGGGTGTGTGTTCCAAGACCCCCAGTGGCTGTCTGAAACTGGATAGTATGAACCTTATATGTGCTGTTTTTATCCCATACATACAGACCTATGGTAAAATTTAATTTACAAGTCAGGCACAATAAGAGATTAACAATGATAACTAATAATAAGATAGAGCAATTATAATAATATACTATAGGAAAAGTTATGTGAATGTGGTCTCCCTCTCTCAAAATATCATACTGTAGTCTACTCACCCCTCTTACGGTGATGTGAGATGATAAAATGGCTACGGGACCAGATGGAGTGAGGGGAATGATGTGGGCATTGTGACCCAGTGTTAGGTTACTCTTGACCTTCTGGTAAGTCAGAAGAAGGATCATCTGCTTCTGGACCGCGGTTGAACACGGGTCACTGAAACTGCAGGAAGCAAAACCGCAGATAAGGGGGGACCACTGTGTGTTAGAGGCCTTTCTGCCCTGTTTTTAAGAGGGTATAAAAATCTAGTGAGTCCTCTCTTCCATCCCCTTGTGGCACACTAGGCCTGACTCCTAGATGGTCCTGAGTCCAGCTACTGATCTGGAGGTTTTACAGGGCCTTAGCCCAAACAGACACTGACTCCTGATGCTACAATGCTGTTGCACTTGCTCATGATGAGTCTTTCAAATTTATGAAGTCTTCACTAAAGAACAGCACAGTGAAAATTCATTGAGCTTAAAGAATAGGGGCGTGACTTCTGTGGCCCAGTTTGCTAGAGATTGCCTTATATAAAGTAGAGATCAGTCTAGACCTGCTTCAGTTGTAACTTGGTGGGCAAGGAACTACAACACTCACTCATCAGTAACTTTGAAAGGCTCTCCAGTTTTCACCTAAAGAAGCTAATAATTGCCCATGACCTGATCAGCAAGGTCAGTGCCAAGAAGCCTGCTATGAAGACAGTCACATTTGTCTCAGGACCTTTGGGAGGTAGTTTTTTCATGAATACATGATCAAGGCAGCAGAGCATCCTCCAGCACCATATGCCTGCATAGCCTCCCTCCCAGGCCCACTCTGGGCACAGGAGGGGGAAGCCGAGCGAGCAAGACCATGGTGTGGAGCATGGGGGAGTGGCAGGCTGAGCGTGTGTGCCCTTGGGAGAAACCTGACAGGGTACAGAGTTGGGAGTGGATGCCAGACAGATGACGGGGACCTGTGACCTGGCATGAAAGGTTGTGCAAGGCTTGGCAAGTGGGTCATTCAAATAGTGTAGAGTTAATCTGTTCTAGCACACATGATTGCTTTGGTGGTGGCAGGTGTGTAATATAAAAATATTATTTGCAACATATAATAATTACTTATAAAATATGGAGATACTTAAGAATCTCATAATCATGCTCAAGCCCCAAAGCTATTTCAGAACTGGAAATATGAAGACAAAGGTGCTAACATTTAGACCCATGGATCTGAAATACACATACCTCAGGTGATTCTTGATGGTGTAAGGCAAGATAGTCTTTGATGTAAAACAAACAGAATACACACTTTTAAACTCACACATGAAGCAAGACAGTTACTTACAGACTCAGAAATTTCTTCCTGAGGCTGTGGAGTGGATTCCCTGGGTTTTTCCCCTGAGATCCCAAATCCAGGCTGAAACGGTGGTGAACCCAAAACTTGAATGAGGTAGGAATCAAAATCCTCACAATGTTTTTTAAACAATTTTTTTTTCAGGGTATCTTTTAAAAGATAAGCAGAAAAGGAGTTTAGTAGGAGCAATGAAATATTACTCAAAACATGTTTAAAGAGATCTTGTACTCTTCTTAAAATAAACACACTTTCTTATCACTTGAAATCAACTGCTAGGTGAACTAAGTTTTGTAGCATTTTTACATATCTCTAAGAGGACATCTAAAATATATTAATAATATAAGATGGCCCAAATAGATAAGAGAATGACTTAAATGCTTGTTATCAAGCATCAGATAACTGTGAACTATTCCATGGCAGGGGTAAGTCTTGTCCATAAGAAATTTAATAGGCAGTTGCCTCTGGTTTTAGGGATAGCAAAAGGCAAAGCAGTCCAAAAACAGATCTCTCACTGGCTGGAACAGATTGCTGTCTCCATTGATTAAGCTATGATAAAGGTCTTCAGTTATTAAAATTGAGTTTGTCTCTGAAATGTACAATATCTCTGGCCATTCTAACACATTAACAGACCAGTGAGATTTAATATATCAGATAAAACCACCAGTCACCCAGTAGGATGGTAAGAAAATGGGACCTCAGGTTAGAAAGGTCTGGAGGAAAAGGGAGACAGTAGGAAGGCTCTGAGCCTGATATGCTGTCTGTAAGGCCAGCCACATTGGTAACCAGAACTGGCCAGGGCAGCATAAGGCGAGGAGGGTCTGTGCTAGGCCACATCAGGACCCACTCCCAGATGGGCAGAGAAGGAAGGATGGAGCCAACCCAAACTCTGCAAACATATTAAGCATAGATTTATTAACTCCACAAGCTTGTTGGGTGAGGGCCCTGCCAGAATGACTTTTCAGTTTCCAAAGAATTGAAACATGTTTCATTGTGAAGCCATACTGACCACACTTCAATCACAGATGAGTTAGTGTCTAGAATGTCTCATGAAAATCAGTTCGTGCGAAAGCGTGAAGTAGCAAAGGGAAGCCCATCAAGTTAGCAGGACCGTATGATGAATATTAAAAATGTTGTTCTTTAAAATAAACTCTGACATCCACGTGTTTACTCATCATTATCTGTTTTCATAACAGAGACTAGAACAGAATAATCCCAGTATTTGTGTGTCCTGTCTCTTTATATTATCATAACTCTTTTTCATTCACCAGCACTTCTTATGTCATTATGACTCTACACAGGTTATTTTCTGCCTTGCAGCTGGCTTGCTCCATCTCTTTCTTATTCAAGTTAGGTAACTTTTGAACATTAATCAGCAATACCCCCAAATCCTATCTTTTCTTTCCACCCATGTCCTTCAACCACAGAATCCCCAGTTAAACAACTCCAAGGCTAACTTGGCACTTCCTGCAAAAGAACAAAGATGAGGGACTGTACTCACTCACTAAACTTACCACTAAACTGGGTAACACTAACTGTTAACTTCTGGAGTCTCCATGTTACAATTTAAACATGGCATAAGCCTCATCAGCCTCCAGATTTCCAATTTTAGTCAGGATAAATCAGTAATATGGTGCTTGGAATATCAGTGTAAATGCCTTTGCCCTGGAGCAGTATTACCTTGCAAGGTAATGAAGTCATCAAATTGATAAATGTGCTCACTGTCTGGGTCAGTGGCAATTAGATTCATTTCTCTGTGGAACATTTCGAAGTTGGGGTCATCTTTCTTCACCACACCAATCACAAAGATTTCCACATTGGTGTCACTGGCATGCTTCACCACCTCTGTCAGATTCTTTTCATCTCGGGTGTCTGTCTGCCCATCGGTGATGACCAAGGCCACCTTCTTTACACCTGGCCTTGCGGCTTCAAACATGTGGTTGGCTGCATGCAGAGCCGTAGCTGTGTACGTGCCTTCCCCTAGATACTGCATGTTGTCCACAGCCAGCTTGAAGTCATCCTTGTTGGAGAACTGCGTCAGATGGGCCACCTTCTCTACCTCATGGCTATAGTTGATTATGCCCACACGGGCTGTGGCGATGTCCACAGCAACCTGGTCTGTCAGAGTCTTCACGAAATTTTTGATGATCTGGAAGTTCTCTGGTCCCACACTTTCTGAGCTGTCAATCACAAACAGCAGCTCTAGCGGAGTCTCTTTGCATTTGGGCCCACAACCTAAAAGATGAATGTTGAGATAGAAACATTGCAGGAATGAAAATTAAAAAAATCACTGATTGGTATCAGATGGGTGGGAAGAGGGGAGAGAGGGGCAGGGATGTACTAGAGGCCTGGATTGTTACCCGCCTTTTCTGTACCTGAACGCAGCTGACAACTGTCTCCCTTCTGGATTCTATACCTAACTTTTAAAAAAAATTATATATTGAAAAAAAGAAAAAAAAAACCAAAACACTGTACAGGATAAAATAAACACCTATGTGCTGATTTCTCAGGTTAGAAAATATTTCTACAAGAGTACTCCTGTGTATGCCTTCCTAATTACATCCCCTTCTCTCTCCCTGAAAGATAACCACTATCCTCAATGTGTTCTTTATCATTCTACTACTTAAATTTAATCTGAATCTAAACACTAATATTGCAGTCTTCAACCAGTCCTTAAGTGAAAATGGATATATACACATTGGCATGGCCAGTGGGTAGAGTAAGGGAATGGGATCGCAAGAGAAGGGTTAGGGGCTTCGACTGTACACAAGAACAGCTGTCCTTACGTATGCTGGTGTACGTCCCCAGGCACTCACAATGATGACTAAGGTGACTCCCGTCTTATCAAGGGAAGCCACATCTGCGTTAGCCTGGCACCATACAGCGTCCCAAGTTGGTTCTTAAAGTCCAGAAGTCTTTGAGGTTCTTTGTATAGAAAGACAGTGATGCTTCTGCCTCCATTCTAGGTACAGAAGTTTCTCTTATCCTCATTAGTCTATTAATCTCTGGCCTCTGTGCTAATCTCTCTCTTTTTTTTTTACTACTTCTTTCTGGTAACTCTATTTTAAGTCTCTGTGTTTAGCTGTAGAGGCGTTTGGATAGAGGTGTGAAACAAAATGCCTTCCTGACTCTGTCCTGCCTTTGAAGTGGAATGCACTCTAGAAACAGTGCTTGGAACTCAAATCAGAAAGACTTCTTGCTTCAGGAAAAACGTAGATTTTGTAATCACTAGCTGGGCTGGACTCAAATGCCAGCTGGGCCCCTGTAGTCATATTTCCTTTTCTTCTTAGGTTCAGGTAAATGTCACTGAATACAAATAAGCACTGTGCTTTACAAAGGCCTGGCTGCCCACATACTCTAGGCCAGCGTCTTCAAGCTCTTAACCACCCTGGGAAGATGATTCTCTTTTTTTAAGTTAGGGTTCCCACCACCTCTCTCACTGCTTCCTTTCAGTTTCACATTGATTTTTTCAAATGAGCTTCAAACTTTTCCATAAGCTATATAATACACATCTTCTGGGTGAGCATGTTATCTTGACTAACACAGAACATAGTGGGGTTGGTACTTTAAAGTGATTTTTTTTTTCTTGACAGTCAGATCTTACCACATATTTCAAAAATAAGTTTGACAATTTCTTCTTTCTGGAGGAAAAAGGAAAATGTATTAAATGTATGACCAAACTTTTTCCTATATTCATAAAAGATAGGTCTTATTACAATCAGCATTGGGCCATTTGGTTTCACCCTCCTGTAGAAAATAAAATAAATAGCACAGAGGCTAAAGGTTGCTATAATATATCATAACAGAAATATGCTTGAATTGGGAAATGTAGAAGCTCAGACTTTTGGAGTTCAAGTTGTGGCTCTAGGATTTATCAGCTGTGTGACCTTTATATCAGGTGGCCTAACAGGATCTGGGTGTCAGGGCTGTGTTGTGGATTAAATGAGGTAACCCACACAGAGCTCTTAGCACAGAGTCTAGATCCACAAAATACCACCTACAATGGTGAGGCAATGCAGGCGTTCAATTACATGATTCAATCCACTTGTGCTGAGCAACCAAGACAAGCCTGGGGGCTGAAAGAGAATTCATTCTATGCCACATCCCTCCTCCTTTCTGTACCACTCCCCAGTTTCGCAAGTCCCCTCCACAGTTTCCTAAGACTTCCACTTTGGCTCTTCTATGAAATGTTCCAGAATGCTCCTTCTCTAGCTCCACAAAAGGGCCGGAGATGAGCTGGGTCCTGGAAGTAAATCTGCCAGCACCCTGTCCGGAGCAGCATGTTTACAGTAACAGATGAGACTATGGAAGGCAGAAGTCTCTGTTTGCCAAACAGGAAGCTGACAGGGATGATTAACTTGATCAATGAAAGAAGCAGAGAAGCCCAGAAATTTCAACAGGAAGGAAGAGTGGACTTGATCTAAGGAGATAAAATTTAACAGTTGCAAAAGTGATGTTTTAAAGGAAAAATCTGTAATGACAGAATTGGGGTGTAGGTGACATAGCTGGGTAACATGACTTAATAGAAGCATGCACAGGGACTAATCAGGGCATTTAATAATTTTTTTTTACTATAAGTTGAGTAAAAGTTAATGATTCCAACATATTCTTTTCTATTTTTGCAATATACAAATATTTTTTCAATCTTCATATGTCACGATGCTATTAAGATAGCACGTACTTATAAATACTTGTAATATAAAAACAATATATTTTCATTCTTCATACAATGTTTCTGTGCTATTAAATTAGCCTTTTCAAACCACACATCACCCCTCCTTTAATGGCTGTCCCTGCCTGAGAATTTGAAGACAGGAAAGAGGAGACAGAGGGTGGAATGGGAAAATGCCGACTTGTAAGGTATAGGAAGAGACACAGTCTTTTTGAAACAATGTGGTGTGAATTCTTAAAACACTGATCTCCGACTGGCTGGTCATGAGTCTTTGGACAAATCCCTTAGCTTCTCTACAAGTCAGTTACCAAACCCCCTGCATGGGACAACAGACCTTCCTCTCCTACAGGGAGGGTTGTTAACAATTTACAAATCAGATATGCATGAAACAGAAACCTGCTAGTAACCCTCAGGTAACTTTAGTTTTTATATTGGCCTAGACTGCAATGAATTTTAGTGAAGTCATCAGAATTAGTTTGGAAAACATTCCTTTTGCCAACTGAGGGATATGAAGCAGGGGGAAGAATGAGAAGAGTTTTCAACTCAAGGTTTGAGCTAGATTATTTCCACCTTTAATAGCATGTGCAGACACACACGAGAATGAGAAGCCAAAGGTAAAACTCCATTGTGTTGTGCTGAGGTAGGAAGTAGTGTAGTGTGCTTTAGTTCTCACTTGGTGATTGCTTCATATAGAATTTGAAAATTGGGACTGTTTATCTCAACTCTATAACACCCTATTCCCACATTAAGGTTGACTGAGTCATTTTCTTCATCTTAACAATTTTCTCTTTATTTATATAGACTTTATTTATATAGACTTGGCACCATTTGTGAACAAGGACACTTGAAATCTTTTTTGTTTTAAAATTTTATCCTATTATTTTTCTCATGTTGTAACTGCTCTTGATATTGTTAGGTGAAAAATCATGTGTCTGAGTTAATCTCACATCAAAGCAGCATCATTATATAATGATGATGCTAAGTTAGATGAAAAATACCAATGGTATATGCTCTTACTAGTTACTAATTTTCAAACTTAAAGTTCTGTCTCTGAAAAACTCCTTCCCCACACCACTGACATGGTTCCTCTACTTGAAAAATGCACTGCCTGTGTAAAGTGAATTAAAAAAAAAACGCTGGGTAAACAATAATAACAATAATAATAAAATAAAACATTGAGCTCCATCAATAGTATTTGCCTCTTAAAAGAAGAGTTTGTTAGTCTGAAACGAATCAGCAGCTAATAGCTGTTTGGGGATATATTTGATCATGGAGAGAATAGGGGTGGGGAGAGGAAAGAGGCCTTCTAAGAACAGCATTTCTTGGGGAACAGCTTGGATTTGACATCAAACAAGTCAACTCTGCCTATAAGAGCTCTGCTACTGGCTAGCAAGGTGACATCGGGTATATTGCTTAAGCTTTCTGTCTGACTTGGCATGTCTCCATGGAGCTGCCATGTGGATTAATGTGGGGTCTTGGGCAAAAAGGGACACAACCTGTCCCATTCTCACTGCATCCCATCTCCACCACTCCTGCACTGCGTGGGGCCTAGGCCAGTATTCATGTGGTGAATACAGTCCTCACTTCTGAGCTCTGTCCAAGTCCCCTCGAAACACCACAAGTGAGGTGGCCTGTGCATACAGGTCGGTGCTATTGACTCTCCAAACAGGCTGCCTGGGCAGGCGGTTCTGGGATCTTGTGAATCCAGAGTGTGGTAGAGAGGGGGCATGGTACAGAGGGGGGATAGAAGGTCGCTCCTTGGGTGCAAGGATTCAGGGAAAGGGGTGCAGATGGAGCAGGACTAGAGGTCCAGAGCGGGTCCTGTAGAGAATGGGCCCCGGGCCCTCTGCACTACCAGATAACGGTGGTACTAGAGTGAAAGAACCAATACAGTGTCAGACCCTTTTTCTAGAATCCAGAAAGCCAAGGTCAGCAGGATGACATCGCCATTTCTAGGGTCTCTGCCTCTTAGTTAAAAACCTTCTGCTAAACAGATAAAAGCCCATCTTGTCCCCAAACACCATCATACACATTCTGTTACATATCTACTTCTTTCACAGCAGTTTTCAACCTGCAGGTGACCTTCCTTTGCTTGTCTTTCTCTCCTCTGGGCTGTGAACTCCTTGAGTCCAGATACATAGTCTTTCATTCTCTACTAGTTCACCAAGGCCTATCTGAGAGCCTGGCCCAGAGTATGTGCCGAATAAATGTTGGTGAAATGAGCATGAATGGATAAAGGAAATCAGACCCCTCCCCATGTGGGATAGGAGGGAGGGTATAAACCTGTGGGGAACTTCCCTCTGGGCATTTTACATACACTCTCCCCTGCTTCTTTTGGGGAGGAATTGCTGTATATGTAGCTGCTTCATCCACCATTTGCAGGGCTTTGCCTTGTGATGGGGAAGAACAAAGAGAAAAGTGCAAAGAGGCCATAAAAAACATGTGTAGTTCTGTTTGTCATATGCCCAGCTCTCATCTCACCCTCACTATCTGATCTCCCACCCCCCTCACACCTGGATCAGCATCCCTAGCACATGACCCAACCCACAGAAAAATCAAAAAGGGAAAAAGGAGAAGATTCCTATTTCTCCTCCACTCCAGGAGATATAGTGCCTTCAAATCAGGAAGAATTAGAATATGCTATAGAAATTCCAGAGCTTTCCCACTGTGTGAGACTTCAAAGAGGTGGCTTTTGGTTTGCAGTGATGTAGGGAGATGAATGTGGAAAAGCCTGTAGATGCTTCACAAGTATTTGTTGAATAAGTGAATCAGTACATGAAAGTAATCCCAATTTGTGATTGCTATTCTCCTCTGTGCACCTCCTAAAGGAACTAGTTCAGGAAAAAAGAATCCCCATTCTGAAATATGGTTTCTTTTAAACAGCTCACCAGCTTACCATTTCTACAAGGGATCAGAGGCGAGCAGTCACACGTCACCGCCAGACCCAGTAAGGGCTGCCGGGTGGCATTTCTCCCCCTGTTCAGATGCACTCACCTCAGGCATCTAAGTCAACCCTGTGTTTGCAGCAACACTTTCATTTAACTACAACTGGAGCCCTGTGTCAAAAGAATTCATATCTCTAAAGCTTAAACATGAATGTAGTCATTTCACAAGTGCACACCCTGTCACCCTCTAGGAGTGATACTCACTGTGAGTCCTTGGTCGCCTTTCGGTCCTCGTGACCCCTAGTTAGTGGAGAAAGGGTAACAGTCAATATAGGTTGGGACTCGCTGACATAAAATTACAGGAAGATTTTAAAAATCACTCCTTGCCTGTTCTCCTGGAGATCCGGGCTCTCCTGTTTCCCCTTTATCACCTTTCTTCCCCATGTCACCCTGTTCTCCATACTCCCCCTTTACAAATAGTGAAAAAATAAGTTTAAAATGTGAATGGTAAAGCCAAATACGAAAGCCTTTAAAATTTGGTTTATTTGAAACTAGTATTTCTTGACGACCTGGGGTTCATGTTGATACAAATATACTATAGGAAAAAAATGGGGAACATTTTATTTACATTCCTGTAGATCCAGAGATCCCAAGGTAAAGAGACCTTGAGGTACCATCAGATCAGCGCACTGCCTTCAGAAAGTTCAACTATTATATAATTTTACATCTGAGTTATCTGGTATCTTCTACACGGTATTTTGTAAGGGTTTATTCCTTTATCAGTTGGCTTTTGAGAATGAAGAAAGTGAGATTTGATAAAGTAAGCATGTTTGTAGTTAGGAAAGAAAATGCATAAGGGTTCACTTTTAAATAGATTTTTTTTCCTCTGAGAATCATAAAGAAGAGCATGACAAGTATATGAGAACTCTTCCCAAGTTCAAGTTAAGCTATTGTGATACTAAACCTAAGGTCCTAAAATACTTACCTTCTGGCCTGGGAGGCCATGGCCTGTCATGCCCTTTGGCCCTGGAAAGCCTTGAGGTCCTTGCTCCCCCTACACACAATATGAGAAAGGGATGTTCCTGTTAATTTCCCAGGAAAACTCAGAATATTCTTTGAGTCAAATATACACTAGCAGTTTTAAAACAGCACTATAGCATTATCTAAATTGGGGGTGGATGAGTATATATGTCAGATGGACCCCATGTTCAGCTAGTAAAAATTTAACTACTGAAACTGGGGTAGGAGTGGGGGAGCTGGTTTATAGCATTTACCTATTTCTGTGGTATAAATACTCCCACCTTGGCTGATTTCAACCTATGAATAATGGTACCAACCAGTCCACAAATAGCCAACAGCTGTTATTTCAGTTGTGATATTGATGGTGATTTTTATAATCTTCTTTATATTTTTCTATATTTTGATATGATAAAGCATTTATTATCTTAATAATAGAGAAAAAGAGGATATAACAGCATCTCTTCCCCAGTTAGTACCAAGGAGTTGTTTATATGCTTCACCATACACTGTTATTCCATGATTGATAATTTGTAGCAACATGAATCTATTTATCGATATTTAATACCTCCTTAATTCAGAAAATTAAAATATTTTCATTTCAGGACTTGCGTTTAACTTTCCCCATCAAATTTTAATATTATTTCCTCCCCTCAACCCATCAAACCACACAGGTTTAAAGGGTTTTTATGATGTTGAGCATGAAACAGGAATAATCACTAATAAATAGATAAAATCATAATATGGAAGTTGCTTAATTCTAAATCATCATTAGCAATGACTTGGCAGAGTTTTGAAGGATCATGGGCTCCTAGGATTTGATTTGCTTACCTTCATCTTTCTCAAAGGTATCCTGACCACACCTACTGGAATCACTGGTATGCTTAATAAAAACCTCAGATCGACTAAATGGGAATCCAAGATTGGGATAGGTGTGGGCATTTTTCCATAGGTTTGTGAGCCTTTAAAAAGCAAGATGGGCTTTAGAAGGTTACTTCTGGAAGGGGCTGCAGAGGCTTGCTTGGAGACCATTGTAGCTTTTAGTATCAACATTCCTGAGTCCCTTTCCTAGCTCACTGGCTTTTCAGCTTTTTAAATCGAGAGAACCCTTTATTTTTAAAAGTATTATAATGAAATATTTCAGATACAAAAAATTCATATGGAAAAGAAAAACACCTACATACTACTATATTTGAAAAATGCAGTATTACAGATACCATTGAAATCCCCAGTCCCATTCCCCTAAGGAGAGAGGTTTCAATTTCAGAGAGAGGTTTCTGAAATTAATATATATCACTCATAATCCATGTTTTTATGCTTTAACTGCATATGTATATATTCTAAAACTGCACAATTTTAATACTTTAAATTCAGATAAATGATATATTTACATATCCAGTTTGTATTTTAAATCTCAACATTATCTGCATGAAATTTCTCTGAGTACATATACAGTTTGTTGATTTTCTCTGCTGTACAATATTCCATTAAAAAACTAGACTACAATTTATCCATTACCCTAATGATGAATATTTAAGTTGTTTCCAGTATTTCCCTATCACAAATAATGCTTTAATGAATACACTTTGATATATCTTTGCACACTTGCACACATCCCTAGGAGGGAGCCCTTTAATTAAACAAATCTTATACAGAGCACAAAAGAAAATGAGTAGAAATGGAATTTTCTTCTTGAGGTACCCAGTTCTTGCTCCCATCCCTAGCCCCTCACAGCACGTTGGTTTCACTGAACTCTCAGGTTCTCTTCACCTTTGCCGTGTTGTATTTCTAACTGGATGGCCAGTATGGGTTTAGAGTTTTGTCCCACTTCAACTCTAAAGGACTTAGAACAAGTTCCTTACAAAGGTCCAGTTGCAGAGAACTCATTTACTGACTGTCTCTTTCACCCCACTAACTCTTGAGCCAATCACAGTGCCATAGTAAAGCGCCCAGGTCAGTGTTTATGCAATGTTGACTCAGGTCTCAGGCCTCTCCAAGGAGACTCAGGCCTGAAGAAAGAGCACCCTATCTTTCGGTTGCTGAGTTGCTAGAGGAGACAGGAAAAGGATCATTGGTCTTCCTTATTCAGTTCACAGTATAAACCATCTTTTCCCACCAGAAAACCTTGGTGGCATTGGCAACCCCAGAACCCTGGATAGGGATATCAGTGCCAGTTAAATATGCCCCAAACTGAAAACCAACATAGATTCCAAGCTGGAGAGTTAAGCAGTTGAAAGGAGAGGAGAAAAATATGTTCCATTTCCAAAGGTTGCCGTATTAACACAGATGGGATGAAAAGGAATAGGTGGGAATGTGTTGATAATACAAATCAATCTCATGACACTTACTGAAAAATGTGCTCTAGTAAGAGTAGATCTGTAGCCTCACCTTGAGTATGAAGGGTGGAAGGGTCTGCCTACATACAGAGTAGGTGGCCAGCCACAGTGTGATATGAAGGACAGTGGGAAAATACCTGCCTAAGATTCTGCCTTTCTCTGTTCTAATGAAAAAGAAAATTTTTAAAAATGACAAGAGAGATATCCTCTTAAGAAAAACGTATCAGTAAATGATACTTAGGTGTAAATTAGTTTTCTCAGCTTTTTTCGTGGAGGTGAATGAGGGCATTTTCAACCAGTTCCCCAGTTGAAAGGTAGTATTGGGTCATTAAGGAATGCTTGTGACCGCAGGTCCCTGAGTTGGGGTGGGTAGCAGTAGGGTTCCTAGCCAGGAGTGAGGGAGGTTGAAGCTTCATGGGAGGACACCAAAAGGAAACCGCTAGTTGGCTTTGTCCCAACCCCAAGGACCAGAAGAGTGAAAAATAAAGGACTGTGGTCTGAATCTGTATCTAGACAAAGTGGGTCCAAAGAACTCAATGCCTTTCTGTTATTCAAAATAATTTTTACAAACTTCCACATTCCTACAGCAGCTAATGTAGAAGATGCTTATGACTTACTAACAGCATTTAAGAAGTGACCCTATTTCTTAGCAAAGTTAAAAGCTGCCACGGCTTCATCGCCATGCCCTCAGGGAAGAACCTCAGAGTAGCCACTTACCATGAATTTATTTTGCCTTACTTTATAAAATAGACATTCTATATATAATTGTTAATACTGTAGCTGTTCTAGGCAACTGGGTTTCCCTATAAATGGGTTTTTCCCCCCTTTTTAATCACCAATTTCCTTTTAAAATACTTGAAGGCTTTCTATCATTTCACAGTGGACTCTCTGTGACTAAAAGCCTTGAGCAAGTAAGTCCATGCCTCAGCTTGGCAGAGGAGAATGCTATCCATCAGATTTTTTCCTTATAAGTCTTGGGAAAATGATAGACAATTATTTCAGCATGGGTCAGAAGCACCTGCAGGAAAGAACCTGTTTATCTAAAGGTATAATTAAATCCAGATTTCAAACCCAGATTCTTAACCTCTATCCTCACTCTTAGATCTGTCCTGCTAAACAGGTGTTGGTTCAAATTTTTCAGATGATTGCTTATTCTCTGGGAAAGAAATTTTGAAGGATAGTGCACTGCACAACTATGTGAATATTTTAATAGATTTTTTTTTTGGCAATGCTGATATGTCAAGAAACAATCTTTCTTTCCAAATGTTTTCTTAGGAAGGTACAGTAAGAAAAAACTGGAATAAAAAAAAATGGATATCTGTTTTCCAGTTAGGGTGTTAAAAACTAGAGAAGGCTGCTTTCAGTCACAGCAAAAAATGCTCACTAAGCTATGAAAGCATAGCTTGCCTTGAGTCCATCATAGTGCTGTGGTTACAGGGCAACCAAGGAACTCAAAATCTAAGGAAACACATGGTCCTCCATGGAGTGAGGATATAGACATGCGCTTACATGCTGGAGAAGCCAGAGGTCAGATAAGCTGGTAAGAAAAATTCACTTTGAATTCATAGCAAACTGCCAAAGGCGGAGTGTGGGGTAGTGTGAGAGAATAGGCCTCCTGGGAGCGTCAAGCGTGAAGGGAATTCACACACAGGCCCTTTGGGGACCTCCCCGGATGAAAGACGGGACAGTCCTGAAGCTTCCCTCATAGTACAGCTCAGGGGAGAGAAGCTGCCATCCCCCAGGGAAAGGCATGTGACAAAAATCTTAGGCTGCTGGGGGAAGTACACCAAACACTGTGCCCTTTAGGGCACAAACGGCGACCTCTGGCAGCTGAGGGAAGGAAACAAAATAAAACTTGCTGGAATGGATTCTGGGCCCAGACCATTAGAGAGATGTCCTATCATTTAAGAAGGGTCAGGAAACCATCCTCACAGTGCAGACCATCAGAAGCATCCTATGGATTTGCTAGACTCATAGAACTGTGCACTTAAAAGGATGAATTTTTCTAGAAATGGTAGTAATATCAATGACAGTTTTCTGTTTATAATTTTAAGTGTTATGTAAGAGAATATTGTAAATTTTGATAAATTTGTGTAGTAGGGAGTAGAATCTTATCAAGCAGGCCTCCTGCCAACCTGAAAGCCAGTATTATGGTAAGATGTGGTAAATGGTACAGTTAGCAAGACATGGTGAACTGCCTGAATTGTCATACAAGTGTTTGGCATGGAATCCAGAAACCACTCTATATTGGAAGGGATTATTTTTTTATGCTTTGTGGACACAGCTAGTTCCCTATACAAGGAAACAAATGGTATTTCCTAGCAGCTTATGGGGTACATGTAATTGTACGTGTAGATAAAAGGCACTTAACTAGAGATCCCTAGAACAACCCAGTGGTCTGACCAATTCTGGTCCTTATTGCCTCTCTGAAGTTCTGAGCATAATAACCTCCTGTTGTAATGAGCAACTGCCATTATTACTGTGGGCCTATGAGTGAAGGTTGAGCTAGGTAATCACAGAGCTAGACATACTTTTGTTTAGTTTCTATAATAACCCAGGGAGCAAGTATATAAATGATAAAACTGAGGCTTTTGCAATTCTTCCATGTCACCTCAGGTTGCATCTTATTTCACAGCAATGCTGTGAACAGTAATTCTCTGTCCCTGATGCAAAGCTGGCCGTTCTTCCAAAGGCACAGCTG